TCCAGATCTGGGCCACCATCAAATCTGAATTATTGCAACTGCCACCCATGATCCATGGGCTCTTTCTGTTCTCCCTTGGCCCCACCATCCCTAGTCTCATTTCAAACCAGCAGCCAAAAAGATTCTAATAAAATGTAATTTAGATGATTTTAGTCATTCTTCTGCTCAAAACTCCAATAACTTTCTGTCTTAGTAAAAATGAAAGACCATTAATGTGCTTGATCTAGATTTTGATCACCCCTCTAATCTCCTATCTTATCCTTCCCCTTTGCCCATAGATTTCAGGCACAGTAGCCTATTTGATACTTTTCAAGTCCACCAAGCACATCCTACCTAACACACGCCATTCCTGCTGGCTTTCCTCTCTTCCTGGAATGTTCTTTCTTCACAGATCTCATGCCTCACTCCCTCTCTTTCTTTAGATCTTTTCTGCTGTTATATTCTATGTTTATTTTGTGTCTGTTCATTATTCCTGTCTCTCTTATTAGCCTGCAAGCTCCATGAAGACAGACTTTTGCTTCATTTTTTTGCTTGATATCCAATGTCTGATATATACTAGGTATTTAATACTACATGTAAATTAACTACATAAATGCATTTTTTTGTTGACTATATGTACTATAAACATCTTTAACTAGTCTCTGCAGCTTGTCTTCTAACACTGTATATAAAGCATTTGTTATTTTTTAAAAATTATGAAGTATTTTTAAGTACTTTCTAAATCTTGTTGAAATTTTTTCTCTATCTGTATCTCATACAGATAGATTCTTTCCCGTGCTTGTTTTTTTTTTTTTTTTTCCCTTTACCTTTCATTTTTTTCCTAATACCTTAAAAGCTGGTTTTTCACATTTAGGTCTTTAGCCTATCTGGTATATTCTTTCATGTATGTCTTGAGGTAAGAATAAGTGTGTGTTAATATGTGCCTGTATGCACTTCTCTAAAAAATAATTCTTGAATAACTTTTCCCTCTGTCACATATTAAATTCTGTATTGTTCAATCATAACCTGCATTATTATGACTCTGTGTCTATTTGTCTACCTATATGCTAACTGACAAAGCTTTATTATACACTTGCTTTCTGTAGAGCTGGCTTTTCTTTCACACACACCCCCAACTGTATTATTCAAATGTTCTTAGCTATTATTTCTGTTAGTTGTCCAGTCAATTCCAACTCATGGCAACTGCACATGCACAAAGTAAAACTGCTTCATGGGATTTTCAAGGCAATGACCTTTACAAGCAGATCCCCGGACCTGTCTTCCCAGGCACCTCTGAGGGAGTTTAAACCACGAAATTTACTCTAGTAGTTTAACACTTAACCACTTGCCCCACTCAGGAACTCCTTTTTTTTTTTTTTTTTTTTTACTTAGTCTTCCTTTTTTTTTGTCTTCTAAAAAGAATAAATAACCTGTTAAGGGTTCCATGAGTTGGAATCAACACCTCAGCAACTAACAATGAAAGTCAAGAAAAGATCCTGATGGGATCTTTGGAACTCTGTTGAGTTTACAGATTAATTTGGGAGGAAAATTGAAAAATTTCCATGCCTGTGCCTTCCCATTAATAAGGTCTGTATATTCTTCACATAAGTTAAATATTTTATGTCTCTCAATAATTTCCTTAAATCCTTTTCCCATGTTTACTTTGCAACCATTTGTCCAGATTATCTTCAGGTTTCTTATGGTATTTGTTGCTCTTGTGTAATAAAAGCAAAAACATTGATTGGCTTTCTTTTGAATACTGGAAGGCTATAAAATTTTGTACATCAATCTAAATTCATACAAACTTGAATTTCAAAGGAAATTTATTATTATTCTTTCTGAGATATTTTCAATGAAGAAAATCACATTACTCAGGAACAATGATAAGTTTATTTCATTTTTCTAAACTTTCTACTTCTCCTTTTTTGCTTTTGTTTCTTTATCTGGAAATTCCATTATAAAATTGAATAGATGTATTTTTGAGTAATATTTTATTTGAAGATAATACTGAATATTTCTGCATCAAGAACGCTATTAAAAAAAAAAAAAAACCTCACTACCATCAAGCTGAGGAGCTCTAGTAGCATAGTGCCTAAGGCACTTGACTGCTAACCAGAAGGCTGGCGGTTCAAACCCACCAGCCACTCCTCAGAAGGAAGGT